AGAATAGAATAGAATAGAATAGAATAGAATAGAATAGAATAGAATAGGTCTATTGTCACTTTGAACATACACTAATTGGCCTACATTAAAATGAAATTTAATTGCACACAGCTCTCAAAGGGCCACCACCACCAATATACACAAACAGTAAGAAATTTGTTAAGTGGGTTTTGCCCCATTTTACGACCTTTCTTGCCACAGTTGTTAAGTGAATCACTGCTGTTGCTAAATTAGTCACACAGTCGTTAAGTGAATCTGGCTTCCCCCATTGACTTGGCTTGTCAGAAGGTCGCAAAAGGGGATCACATGACCCCGGGACAGGGCAATCGTCATAAATACGAGTCGATTGCCAAGCGTCCTAATTTTGATCACGTGACCCCGGGGAGGCTGCAACAGTCGTTAAGTGTGAAAAAGGATCCTAGGTCCCTTTTTATGGTGCTACTGTAATTTCGAACGGTCACTAAGTGAATTCCTGTAAGCCGAGGACCGCCTGTATTTCTTTCCTACACAACAGAACCACAACAAAAAATAGATTTTTGACTTTTAACAACACCATCTATTCTACCTGCAAAGAAAGCATCAAGTTTCAGCTTCGATCACCAAGTAAACATCCCTTCCATATTCAAACGCACAAGAGACAAATGGATTTGTCTTCTTCGCCTGCTCTGGTTTTTACATTAGATTAAATAATTTAGGGCGCGTTCATCGGGTAACCTTTTGCAAAGCCGATGAATGAATGCAGGGAACAAACTTTCTGACATCCGTCACAACTGGCTGGCCCAGAGACGAGACGGGATGCGTCAAGGGATGCTGAAAAATTGCTCCAGGGTCTATCCGGGGGGGAGGGGAGGAGAGGATGAGAAAGAATTGAAAAGACCCCTCATCAGAGGCTCTGAATAAGTTAAGTTCCTTGGATTATGGTAGCCAAAAACCAGGAGGTGTCTGGTAAACAGACTTTCAGACCAACAAATGTGATGATACGACATCGGTGTGTTCGTGAATCACGGTTTCATTGTGGCCGAGAGCCTAGAACCGTGATGGTGAACCTATAGCACGCGTGCCACAGGTGGCACATGTAGCCATATCTGTGAGCACGTGAGCTCAGCGCCAGCTGATTTTCGGCCCTTCTGGGCCCACTGGAAGTAGGGAAACAGGCAGTTTCCGGTCTCCGGAGGGCCTCTGCAAGGGGGGGGGAATAGGGAAGGCTCCCCAAGCTCCTAGAAAGGCTCCGGAGGCTGGGGAGAACACTAAACGGGACTTCGGGTCCCACCGGAAGTTGGCAAAAAGGCCATTTCCGGCCTCCGGAGGGCGTCCAGAGGGGTGGGGAAGGCCATTTTTGCCCTCCCCAAGTTCCTAGAAAGGTTCTGGAGCCTGGGGAGAGAGAAAAACGGGCCTACTAGGCCCACCGTGCCATCGCATGCAAGGAGTGGTAGGGAGAGCAGGATGAACGGGAGGTCGCACATGCATGCATGGGGTGGGGCACATAGAATAATGGCTGTGGGCACACGTACGTGTGACCTCCCCCTTGGCCCCTGGCACGCGATGGCAAAAAGGCTAGCCATCACTGTCCTAGAAACTGCGGAGTACAGGCAGTCCTCGACTTACGACCACCACGGAGCCCAAAGTCCTTGTTGCTAAGCAAAACATTAAGTGAGTTAACTTAACAATTTTACAATCCTTCTTGCTAGTGTTGCTAAATGAATCACCGGAGTTAAATTAGTCAAACTTTTGTTAAGCGAATCTGGCTCCCCCCGCCCCCCCCCCATGGACTTTGTGTGTCAGAAGGTCACAAAAGGGGTTCACGTGACACCGGGACACTGCCACCGTCGTAAATACAAGTCAGTCCTAAAGTTGCCAAGATTGGATATCCCTGGATACCACACTACCGGATGGAGCTCAGGAGTGGTACCAGAGGTGGTATTCAGCCGGTTCGGACCGGTTCAGGCGAATCGGTAGTGGCGACCTAGGGGTGGGGCCCATCCACCTGCCTGGGCGCAATCCCAGGGATGAAATGCTCCCGGGTGGGACCAGATTGCCCGATCCGGTAGCGATCGTGGCGGGTGGTTCGGAGAACCAGTAGCGATCCTGGAGCGAGACTCCGCCCTCCCGCCCGGTTGTCGTTACTTCCTGGTATTAACCAGGAAGTAATGTGTTTTGTACCCTCTGCGCATGCAGGGGTACATGCCAGAACCGGTAGTTAAATATGCTTTAAAAAGTAAAAAAAAAAAAAAAAAAAAAAAGTTCCGACGATCCTGCATCGCTCAGCTGATCGTCGGAACTGTTTTTAAAAACTTTTAGGCATTTTTTTTACTACTGGCTCCGGAGTATAGGTAGTAAAAAAACACTTTTAAAAGGTAAAAAAAAGGCTCCAAGGATCACAGCTGTGGCGCATGATCATCGGAACCTTTTTTTTTAAGGGGGTGGGGTGGGGGTCCGTTTTTGCTCCCAGCAGGCTTTCCTGAAGCCTGCTAGGTCAAAAAAAAAGGGGGGGTAGGCAAAAAATGGGGTTTGGGGGGTGCGTTTTTGAAAGAGAGAGAGAGAGAGAGAGAGAGAGAGAGAGAGAGAGAGAGAGAGAGAGAGAGAGAGAGAGAGAGAGAGAGAGAGAGAGAAAGAAAGAAAGAACAAAAGAAAGAAAGAAAGAAAGAAAGAAAGAAAGAAAGAAAGAAAGAAAGAAAGAAAGAAAGGAAGGAAGAAGGGAGGGAGGGAGGGAGGGAGAGAGGGAAGGAGAGAGGGAAGGAGGGAAGGAAAGAAAAAGGAGAGGAAGGAACTTCCTTGTTAACTTGTCTGCTTCTGCATACTCCAGCACCTTTTTTATAATCATTGTGTTTGTTGGAGCATGTTGTTGTTTCCAGTTTTGGGCAAATGAAATTCTAGCGGCCGTAATTATGTGGAGTATAACGTATTGAATTTCTTTTTTTTTTGTTTTGTTTTATAATTCAGGATTCATATCAATTTTTTTTCCAGTGATTTCCTCCAACCATTTTTTAATTTTAAGCCAATATTCTCTTGCTTTGGGACACATCCACCACATGTGGTAGTATGTCCCTTGTGATTAATTACATTTCCAACAGTGGAAATGTATTATTATTATTATACATTTTCCTTTTTTATACATCACGTTTGCATTTCTGCAACGACAGTGTATTGTCCATATCAAATCTCTTTTGAAGACACATAATATTATACACCATAATTACAGCCACTGTTCTCATGATATATGCAATATAATCTTCAATTCTGGTCGTTCTATACAATTTAATCTATAATCAAATGTAATCCAATAATAATATTGCTTATAGTGTTATGTTTATATATATATATCTATATATCTGTTTTCCTTTCCTTTCCTTTTGCATATATCTATATATACATTAACCTCTATTTTATTGATCATCCTTAATTATAAATTTACTAACTTCTGCTTCTGTTTTCTAACCGTTTGTAAAATGAGTCCCATGTTAAATAGTACTGTTTCCTCTTTATCCTTAATTTTCATAGTTCACCTGTCCATTTCGGCGCAATCTAGTATTTTCTTTATTCCATTTTCATCTATAGGTATACTTTCATTTTTGAAAATGAAAATAAATAAAGTAAATAAAAAACCAAAATAAAAGGCCATTTTGACTACGCGCATTTTATTGGGCTGGCTGGAACGCAGCGTCTCCCCACATCTGCCACTCCAGATCTGGCACCGTGACTGGAAGCTTTTGACGAAGCTTAAGAGAGGCAAGGCGCTCACGGCATGTTAATCGCCAGAGCACCAAATGGGTTGAGAAGCACTTGAGGAGCAGTTTTGCATAAACCGTCCAAAAATGACTTTCCTAATCTGGGCCTCAGCCCCGATCCATCTGGGCTGGACTCCCACCAGGCTTCTCCAACACCAAGCACGCTAGAGGCCGTCTTCCTTTTTTTTGCCCCCTGCTTGCCCGACGCCCGCTGGAAATCCCGAAGAAGGAAAGGCATTTCCTTCTGCTTGTGACTGTAGTGAAAGCTAGGGGTATGGATTTCGGATACAGCGATCCAGTGTTATATAGAGGGGAGAGGAGGGGAGAAAGGGAGGGAGAGGGGAGGAAAGGGGGAGGGCGAAGAGAGGGCAGGGAAGTAGAAGGAGGGAGAGGGAAGGGGAGGACAGGACAGGAGAAGGGGAGAGGAGAGGAGAGGAGAAGAGAAGAGGAGAGAGGAGAGGAGAAGAGAAGAGAGGAGGAGAAGGGAGAGGAGAGGAGAGGAGAGGGGAGGGGTGAAGGGAGAGGAGAGGAGAGAAAGGAGAGGGGAAGGGAGAGGAGAGAAGAGAGAGGAAGAGGGAGAGGAGAGGGCAGAAGAGAAAGGAGAGATAAGATAGGGGAGGGGAGAGGAGAGGAGAGGAGGAGGGAGAGAAGAGAAGGGAGAGGAAAAGGGAGAGGAAAGGAGAGGGGAGAGGAGGAAGGAGAGAGGAAAGGAGAGAAGAGGAGAGGAAGAGGAAGAGGAGAGGACAGGAGAAGAGAAGAGAAGAGAGAGGGGAGGGGAAAGAGTTATGGTAGGGAAGGAAAGGAAAGGAAGGGAATGGGGAAAAAGGAGAGGAGAGGAGAGGGAAGGGGAGGGGAGAGGAAGAGGAGAGGACAGGAGAAGAGAAGAGAAGAGAAGAGAAGAGAAGAGAAGAGAAGAGAAGAAGTTATGAACAAGTATGTGGGTGATACCAAGTCAAGCTCCTTGCACATCATACAATATTCTGGCACACAAAAGGCAGTTAACAGGTGAGCCAAGTCAGGACCTTACCTGAGGCCATCACAAATCCCGTTCAGGGCCGGAGCCGAGGAGCCTGGTCCCATCAGGGCTTCCCCCATCAGCCCGTCTTCCGGATTGCCAGCGCGGGTTTTAAACCTGCAAGGAAAACAGAGACCCTCCTCACCATGTGCAGGCTCAAATATCGAAGAAACTATATGTGCTTTTGTCCCGTCTTTTTTACTCCCATTTTATAAGGTAAGCATATTGAGGTTTTGAAATAACAGACATATTTCTCCGAGAGGAAACTCCACCAAACTCCACCTTCAAAGGAGACACTTCAGGATAAGCACCAGAGGGCAGGACAAGGAATAATGGATGGAAACTAACCAAGGAGAGAAGGAATTTGGAACTAAGGAGACGTTTCCTAATGGTGAGGACAATTAAACAGTGGAACTGCTTGCCACCAGAAGTTGTGGGTGCTTTTCATCACTGGAAGGTTTTAAGAAGAGACCGGATAGCCACCTGTCTGGAATGGTAGAGGGTCTCCTGCTTGAGAAGGGGCTGGACTAGAAGACCTCCAAGGTCCCTTCCAGCTCTATTCCGATTGATAAAACTCTTCTAAATGTATTTTTCCCAGCGGCTGGAGAATGCTGGGGGGTTGAAGTCCACGTGGAAGTTCAAATTAATGGAGAAGGTGCTACGGAAAATGTTCAAGAATTGCTGGAAGCCTGGCGCTCAGCCAAGTCAGCCATCAACAGGCAATTAGAGATAAACAACATGTACATACCCTTCGAAAGAGACAATAAAACAAAACGAAACAAAGAGAACAAAAGAGACTAGTATATAAACATAGAGAAAACCTCACTTCCTTCTAGCCCTGATGATGTTCCTTAGTTGGGTCATGAAATGTCTGCAAGAAAACCACTAAGCTCAGAGAGCGCCAAGGACCCCACAGTTCAACCCTAAGATGCAGATTTTCTCTTCTGTTGTAGAATGACAGAGAAAAAAAGCATGTGTGTCTAATAGGAGAGGAAACACCATTCTTTTGTATCACTGATGATGTTCCCTAGTTGGGTCATGAAACGTCTGCAAGAAAACCACCAAGCTCAGAGAGGATCCAGGACCCCAAAGTTGCTCACACTGAGAAATGCCCTTCTAGCAGAACGGGCTCTGGTCCATGTTGTTGTTGTTCCCGTTATCACTATCACAATTGCCGTTGGGGGTCTAATTAGAGGCCAACACATAACGCTGCCTCTAAACTGAGTGCAAGTGTCCTTGTGAGTGGGTGCCTGCACACACACACAGAGAATATTGATCCAAACTTCAAAACCGGTCAAGGGAGTTGTGTAAAACAAACAAAACGGACGGTACAAGGTAGCTAGATTTTTTGCCTCTACCTATCTCCTATCTTTCTCCCAGCAGTGAGAAGCCTCCCCACCAAGAGAGTTAAAAAGAAGAAGAAGAAAGAGAGAGGCTGAGAGGGAGGGAGGGAGGGACAAGGAGATGGGGAAGAGAGAGAATGAGGGACAGACAGAGAGAGAGAGGGAGGGGAAAGAGGAAGAGGGAGAGAGAGAAACAGAGGAAGAGAGAGAGACAGAGGAAGAGGGACAGGGACAGGAATAGATATAGAGAGAGGGAGGGAGAAAGAGACTAAGAGGGAAGATGAGAGAAAGAGAAAGAGAGACACAGAGGAAGAGTGAGGGAGAAACAGACGGAAAGGGAGACAGAGGGAGAGGGAGAGAGAGGGACGGAGAGAGAGAGACAGAGGAAGAGGAGAGAGAGACGGACAAGGATATATATAGAGAGAGGGAAAGACTAAGAGAGAGAGATGGAAATAAAGAGAAAGAAGGGGAGAGACAGAGGAAGAGGGAGGGAGAAAAACAGGGAGAGACAGACGGAAAGGGAGAGAGAAACAAAGAGGGAGAGACAAGTGGAAAGGGAGGGAGGAGGAGAAGAGAGAGAGGGACAAGGATATATATATAGAGAGAAAGACTAAGAGAGAGAGATGGAGATAAAGAGAGAGACAGAGGGGGAGAGACAGAGGAAGAGGGAGGGAGAAAGACAGGGAGAGACAGACGGAAAGGGAGAGAGAAACAAAGAGGGAGAGACAGTGGAAAGGGAGGGAGGGAGGGAGAAGGAGGGAGGGGAAGAGAGAAAGGGAGTGGGCTGGAAAAGGGGGGGAAAAAAGAGTGGGAAAGAAAAGGAGAGGGAGATAGATGCAGGGAGGGAGGGAGGAGAGAGAGAGAGGGAGAGAGAGAGAGAGAGAGAGAGAGAGAGAGAGAGAGAGAGAGAGAGAGAGAGAGGAGGGAGAGAGAGAGAGAGACAGAGAACTCCACGTATCCTAAAACGAAGCTAGAATCTAGCTATCAGTCCTATCGGTGTGGAGAGAGACCCATCTATCCTCTGTGAACTTAAGTCCATCAAACCGCGGGAAGGCGCTGAGCAGACACAATAAAGGCCACCTCAAGTCCCCCTTTGGACGCCAGCAGCGTCTCCATCCCCTCGTCCTTTGCAGAAGGTGCAATCTTCTCAGCAGACTTCCGATGGAGCATCCGGAAAGAGGAGGAGGAGAAGGGAAACAAATTCGCCGAGACCCAGCAGAGAGTCCTGCGGCTGGACAGCAGGGTCCCCGCTGAGCGCTCTGAGCCGGCTTGAAAAACAAACCCCCCTCCCCTCCCCAGCCCTTCGCCCTCCCTCTCCTCTCCCGCCTCCCTTCCACCGAAAGAAAGTCCCGTGTAGGGATGATTAAAGGTGGTTTTGATCGTTAAAAATCCATCTGCTCCCGCTTTGCTCTTGACCTTGGCGGGTGAACCTCCCCCACCTCCCCCCAGCCAACTTCTCAAACACTGCAGCTCTGATAGTCTCTCATCAAACAATGGTTGGAAATAAACCAGAGTTAAGAGAGTTCGGGGCTGCAGGGCGTCGGGGAGGGGGACTTTCAGCTCTGGGTGTGTTGTGGCCCGTCAGCGGCCTGTGCAGCTAGTAGCTGATTCCGACAGCGAGGAGGCTGGTGTGGTGCTGCGCCAGCAGCCTGTGCAGCTGGCACTTGAGTCAGACAATGAGGAGGCTGGAGAAGATGTGGTGCCAGAGTTGGAAGGAGATTCAGCCAGGGCCTTCAGAGCCTCCAGAAGCTCCCATAAGTGAAGAGGACGAAGAGGAGGAGCCTCTTCTCGATGCACGGGCGCGCAGAGCTGCCAAAAGGCAGGAGTGGTTACTCAGGAGGAGGTCTCCTCGAGAGTAAGGCTTGGGGCTAATTGGCCACTCCCTTAGCCTATTTAAGGAGGAACGCTGACTGAAGCAATTTGCAGGGAACAACTTTAGTTTACTCTCCTTCGCGTCTGGATTCTCTGCAAAATTGTTTCTGGGTTTTCTGCCAACTCTAGTAAGACTATGATTACCTTATCTTAGAATTCTGGTAGGCTGTTAATACAGTTTATTAACAGCCTTTGGTTGATAAAGACAGAGTTATTTGAGTAAAATAAGCTTTGTATAGTTTGTATGTGCTGCGTTCTTTGGGGTCTGTAGCTGGGGCAGAACAGGGTGGTGGCGACGATGATGTGCGGATTGTGGCTTAAAGCCAGTAAGACGGTTCAACCAGATGAACGATTGAGGGAATGTGCTGCTATACACAGACAGACAGACACACACGCGTGCATGACAAGGGTTCTGCAGGTGTTTATTCAAACCCTCCAAACAGGTCACCACGCTGCAAAAAAGATGTTGAGACTTTGGGAAAAAGTTCAGAGAAGAGCAATTAAGAGGACTAAAAGCCTGGAGACTAAAACCTATGAAGAAGAGCTGCAGGATTTGGGTTGGGATAGTCTAGAGAAAAGAAGGGGACATGATAGGAGTCTTCCGCTATCTCAGGTGCTTCCACAAAGAAGCGGGAGTCAACCTATTCTCCAAAGCACCAGAAGGCAAGACAAGAAACAATGGATGGAAACTAACCAAGGAGAGAAGCAACCTGGAATTAAGGAGAAACTTCCTAACACTGAGGACAATTAACCAGTGGAACAGCTTGCCACCAGAAGTTGTAGGTGCTTCATCACTGGAGGCGTTTCAGGAGAGACTGGACAGCCACCTGTCTGAAATGGTACAGGTAGTCCTCGACTTACAACAGTTCATTTGGTGACCATTCAACGGCATTGACAAATGTGACTTACAACCATTTTTCACAGTTACGACTTTTGCAGCCTCCCCTAGGTCACGTGATCAGAATCCAGATGCTCGGCAACCGGTTCGTACTTATGACGGGGTCACATGATCCCCTTTTGCAATTTTCTGACAAGCAGAGTCCACAGGGAAGCCAGATTCACTTAACAACCGGGTTGCTAACTTATCGACCTTGGTGATTCACAGAACTTCATTTTTAATGTGTGTCTGTGTGCTCAGAATAAACAACAATAAAGATAATCCTATCTTATCTTATCATCCTCTCCTCTCCCTCCCCTCCCCTATCCCTCCTCTAACACTCCCACTCCCAGTCCCACTTCACTCCCCTCCCCTCTCAAGCTATCCTACCAGGGGTGAAATGCTCCCGGTTTGGACCGGATCACCCGATCCGGTAGAGGGGCTGCCCCAAAGAAGAAGGGGGTTAAACTTATTTTCCAAAGCACCAGAAGGCAAGACAAGAAACAACGGATGGAAACTAACCAAGGACAGAAGCAACCTGGAATTAAGGAGAAACTTCCTAACACTGAGGACAATTAACCAGTGGAACAGCTTGCCACCAGAAGTTGTAGGTGCTTCATCACTGGAGGCGTTTCAGGAGAGACTGGACAGCCACCTGTCTGAAATGGTACAGGTAGTCCTCGACTTACAACAGTTCATTTGGTGACCATTCAACGGCATTGACAAATGTGACTTACAACCATTTTTCACAGTTACGACTTTTGCAGCCTCCCCTAGGTCACGTGATCAGAATCCAGATGCTCGGCAACCGGTTCGTACTTATGACGGGGTCACATGATCCCCTTTTGCAATTTTCTGACAAGCAGAGTCCACAGGGAAGCCAGATTCACTTAACAACCGGGTTGCTAACTTATCGACCTTGGTGATTCACAGAACTTCATTTTTAATGTGTGTCTGTGTGCTCAGAATAAACAACAATAAAGATAATCCTATCTTATCTTATCATCCTCTCCTCTCCCTCCCCTCCCCTATCCCTCCTCTAACACTCCCACTCCCAGTCCCACTTCACTCCCCTCCCCTCTCAAGCTATCCTACCAGGGGTGAAATGCTCCCGGTTTGGACGGATCACCCGATCCGGTAGTGATGGCGGTGGGTGGTTCGGAGAACCAGTAGCAAAAATCCCTGCCCCCCGCCCCCCCATGCCCAGCTGAGACACACGATCATCAGAGGCTTTTTTTTTTACTTTTAAAAGCATTTTTTCTACAACCTCTTCGGTTGAAGAGGTTGTAGAAGAAAAAAAAAATGCCTTTAAAAGCCTCTGGCGATCCCAGCTGAGTTGCCTGATCGTCAGAGGCTTTTAAAAGCATTTTTTTTCTGCAACCTCTTAAGGTAGCAAAAACCAGTTTCTTATTCCCCTTTCCCAAGCTTACCGATGATACTCCCGCCTGGATTGCTGGAGCTGCTCTTGCTGCTGGAGAAGTTTGGCCTCTTGCTCCGCTAACAAATTCTGCAGACGCTCCTTCTCGATTTCCAGCTCAATTTTCTGGAGCAGGAGCTCTTTCCTTTTCTCTTCGGAGAAGTTCTGGCCGCGCTGATCGGCTTCTTTTGGTCTCGTGACATCGCCGGCCTTTGGCCTCCGAAGGTGCGGCGAGCCAAAATATTCCGAGGAGGATTCGCACGGGGCCCCCGGATATCGGTCTTGAATGTGGCAAGCGTCTTGGAAAGACTCGTGAGCCGAGTTTCTTAATTTTTGATGGAAGGGACACCCCGGAAGAGGACAGCCGTTCCTCCTCTTCTCCCCATCGGGAGTTCTCCGAAGAAGAGGAGCCAATGGCTGCGTGGCTGGAGATGCCCTGTGGTTGCATTTATGGGGCAATCCGTTTTGCAAAAGACGACCGTTCCTGGCCTCCGTCTGACCTCCGGGGGTGCCGGCCTCAAGGACGCCCCTATTCCTACCAGGTCGAGTTGAAGGTTGAAGACTAGGGCTTCTACAAGTTAAGTTGTGGTCCTTATGCAAAGTTTGTAGTCGAGCTACACCAAGGTAGGAGCCATCCATGTCTGAAGGTGGCACCAGCTGTCCATGACCTCTCTGGCTAGACATCTGTAGATAAAGAGGAAACGAAAACCACATTCAGCTTCGACAATTCCAAAATAGCACTGTTCCAATAGTTTTTTTTTTAAATATATAAATTGTATTAATTTTCTATTAATTACATTTCTTAGTATTTAATAAACATCGTGTTGTCTGGATATTTAATTTGCTTAGCAATACAGATTCTCAATCTCCACCCCTTTTTCTTCCAACCACTGGTAAAATAAATTCCATGTTTGATAATATTCTATGTCTTCTTTCTGTTTGATTTTCAACGCAAGTCTAATCCGTTTCTGGACAATCTAGTAACTTCTGAACTATCTCCTCGTCTTGCGGTGTTTTTTCACTTTTCCAATATTGTGCAAAGATAATCCTCGCTGCTGTTAAAATATGTAATATTAAATACATACTTTTCCTATCAATTTTTTTCCTGATATTATCCCTAATAAAAACAGTTCAGGTTTAAAGTCTACATGTTTCCCTATTATCTTTTCTAGCCATCTGCCACCACATATGATAAAATGTGCCCGTTTTTTTTTATTGCATTTCCAATATTTGCTAGACATATTTTTAAACATTTTAGCTAACCTGGCAGGTGGTAAATGCCAGCCGTGTTCCAATATTTGAGGGGCTGCCCCAGAGAAGGGGAGGGAGGGGGTGTCAACCTATTCTCCAAAGCTCCTGAAGGCAGGACAAGAAGCAATGGATGGAAACTAAACAAGGAAAGAAGCAACCTAGAACTAAGGAGAAACTTCCTGACAGTGAGAACAATCAATTAGTGGAACAATTTGCCTCCAGAAGTTGTGAATGCTCCAACACTGGAAGTTTTTAAGAAGAGATTAGACAAGAAGTTGTCTGAAATGGTATAAGGTCTCGTGCTTGAGGAGGGGGGTTGGACTAGGAGACATCCAAGACCTCTTGAGGGAAACCAATCAAGGAAAGATCCAGCCTCTGTTAGGCTGTATTAACAGAGAGTTGGGATCAAAATCGCGCAAAGTATTGATACCAGATAATGCCTTGATAAGACCACACTTGGAATACTGCATCCAGTTTTCGTTCCCAAGATATAAAAATAGGCTGATATTCTAGAAAGAGTGGAGAGAAGAGCAACAAAGATAATTAAAGGCCTGGAGACTAAAACATACGAAGAACAGTTGCAGGATTTGGGTTTGGCTAGGTTAAGAGGAAATAAGGAATGTAGGGGGAGACATGATATCAGTAGTCCAGTATTTGAGGGGCTGCCACAAAGAGGAAAGGGGTCAACCTAAGATTTGCTCCAAGATTTGAGGGGATGCAAACTCATCAAGGAGAGAAGCAACCTGGAATTAAGGAGAAACTTCCTAACATTGAGGACAATTAACCAGTGGAACAGCTTGCCACAAGAGGTTGTACGTGTTTCAGCACTGGAGGCTTTCCAGAAGAGACAGGACAGCCACCTGTCTGAAATGGTTCAGGTAGTCCTCGACTTACAACAGTTCATTTTGGTGAGCATTCGAAGTTACAACGGCATTGAAAAATGTGACTTACAAATCATTTTTCACAGTTATGACTTTTGCAGCCTCCCCGTGGTCACATGATCAGAATTCAGATCAGTGGTGAAATGTAAAATGTGTTACTACCGGTTCTGTGGGCGTGGCTTGGTGGTGGTGGAGGTAATATGACTGAGTGGACGTGGCCAACTATTTTTTTTTTTTTACCTTTACTTTTAAAACTATTTTTTATACAACCTCTTTGGCTGAAGAGGTTGTAAAAAAAATGCTTTTAAAGCCTCTGACGATCCCAGCTGACTTGCCTGATTGGTGGAAGCTTTTTTTTTTTTAAAAAAAGCCTCTGACGATCCCAGCTGAGCTATGCGATCATCAGAGGCTTTTTTTTTTAACTTTTAAAAGCATTTTTTGGCCGAAGAGGTTGTAGAAAAAATGCTTTTAAAAATAAAAAAAAAGCCTCTGATGATTGCACGGCTCAGCTGGGCAATGGGGGAGGGGCCAGGGATTTTTGCTACCGGTTCTCCGAACCACCCGCAGCCATCGCTACCGGATCGGGCGATCCGGTCTGAACCGGGAGCATTTCACCCGATTCAGATGCTTGGCAACCGGTTCGTATTTATGACAATCGCAGTTCCTCGGGGTCACGTGATCCCTTTTTGCAACCTTCGGACCTGCAAAGTCCATAGGGAAGCCAGATTCATTTAACAACCGGGTTGCTAACTTATCGACTGCGGTGATTCACTTAACGGTGAGCAGAAAAGTTGTAAAATGGGCCGAAATGCACTTAATGAATATCTCACTTAACAGCAGAAATTCTGGGCTCGTAATTGTGATCGTAGGTCGAGGACTACCGGTATGGGGTTTTCTGCTTGAGCAACGGGTCCGACTAGAAGACCTCCAAGGTCCCTTCCAACTCCATTATTCTGTTAAAATCTTGTCTATGGTTCCTTGGCTAGTTCTCGTCCGTGATTTATAAGGCAATTTTTTAAAAAAACAACAACAAAGATACAGAAATGAAATGGTTTGATTATCAAGAGCCAGCACCTCCCCAGTCCATCGTTTCCAAGCGAAAGAGAGGAACGTGCTATCAAATCTGCAATTTAATTCCGTCTACACAGGTACAAATAAATATAAAAGCATCGCCTGCAGGATCCGGGGTATAAACAAGGCACTTCAGCCTATCCAGGAATTGCGAGTATCTAGGGTTACATAAAATCAACTTGAAGTGTGGCGGGGGGGAAAAAAAAAGGAAAGAAAAGACAAGCCATTAAATGTTAATGCCTGAAAAATGTTTAATTTTGAATAACGGAGCCAGGAAATCCATTCTACCTCTTATAAATACCGTCTGATTGGCCATTACACAGCGGGGAATTCGAGGTAAAAACGTTTCACCTTGTACTGAATGGGATATTACTTAACTGTTGGAAATTTGAATATATATGTGTGTGTGTGTGTGTGTGTGTGTGTCTTTTTCGTAGGCTTTTATGTGCATATTCTTTCTAGCCAGGTTTTACCTACGTAAGCTAAGGTGTTCCACAGCCCTGGTTCTGTGAAATCTCATTCACAAGTTTCTGGGCTTTTTGTATCTTGCTGAAAAGCAACAACTCTCCCAAATTGCAGCACAGAGTTGTTGCTTTTCAGCAAGATACAAAAAGCCCAGAAACTTGTGAATGAGATTTCACAGAATTAGGGCTGTGGAACATCTTAGCTTACATAGGTAAAACTAATCAAATGGGATAAATATCCCATTCAGTACAAGGTGAAATGTTTTTACATACATATAGATATACATATACAGATAGAGATATAGAGATATAGATAGATAGATATAGATGAGATGATAGACAGACAGACAGACAGACAGACAGACAGACAGAGGCAGACAGACGAGAGAGATGAGATAGACAGATAGATACACACCTCACATCAAAATCGTCATCAAAAAAGCACTTCAAAGAATGTTCTTTCTGCGCCAACTCAGGAAGCTCAAACTGCCCAAGGAGCTGCTGATCCAGTTCTACAGAGGAATTATGGAGTCTGTCATCTGCACCTCTAATAACTCTCTGGTTTGTCTCTGCAACCCAACAAGACAGACGGAGACTTCAGAGGATCATTAGAACGGCAGAAAAAACCATGGCTACCAACCTGCCTTCCATTGAGGACCTGTATACTGTGCAGACGAGTCAAAAAGAGGGCTGGGAAAATATCTACAGACCCCTCGCATCCTGGACATAAACTGTTTCAACTCCTACCCTCAAAACGACGCTATAGAGGACTGCACACCAGAACAATTAGACACAAGGACAGTTTTTTCCCCCGAACGCCATCACTCTGCTAAACGAATAATTCCCTCAACACTGTCAAAGTAGTTACTAAGTCTGCACTACTATTAATTTTCTCATCGTTCCCATCACCCATCTCCTCCCACTTATGACTGTATGACTGTAATTTTATTGCTTGTATCCTTACGAGTTATATTGATATTGTTTCCTGATTGCTTATTTGTACCCTATGACTATCATTAAGTGTTGTACCTTATGGTTCTTGATAAATGTATCTTGTCTTTTTATGTACATTGAGAGCTTATGCACCAAGACAAATTCCTTGTGTGTCCAATCACACTTAGCCAGTAAAGAATTCTATTCTATTCTATTCCATTCCATTCTTCTATTCTATTCCACATTTTCTATTCTATTCTACTGTATTCTATTCCATTCTATTCCTTATTCTATTCTATCCCATATTTTCTTTTCTATTCTATTCCATTCTATTCCCTATTCTCTTCTCTTCTATTCCATATTTTCTCCTTTCCTTTCTCCTTTCCTTTCTCCCTCTCTGTCCCTTCTTTCCTTCTGCTTTCTTTCCTTCTTCCTTTCCTTCATTCCTCCTTTCCTTTCTTCTTTCTCCCTCCCTTTCTTTTCTTCCTTCTTTCCTTCCTTCCTTTCCTTTCTCCCTCGCCATCCCTTCTTTCCTTCTGCTTTCTTTCTTTCCTTCCTTCCTTTCCTTCCTTCCTCCTTTCCTTTCTTCTTTCTCTCTCCCTTTCTTTTCTTTTCTTCCCTTCCTCCTTTCCTTTCTCTCCTCCTTTCCTTCTGCTTTCTTTCTTTCCTTTTTTCTTTCCTTCCTCCTTTCCTTTCTACCTCCCTTTCTTTTCTTCCTTCTTTCCTTTCTTCCTTTCTTCTCTTCCTCCTTTTCCTTTCTCCCTCTCCATTCCTTCTTTCCTTCTGCTTTCTTTTCCTTCCTTTTTTCCTTCCTTCCTTCCCTTCCTTCCTTCCTTTTCTTCCCTTCCTCCTTTCTTTCTCTCTCCTTCTTTCCTTCTGCTTTCTTTCTTTCCTTCCTTCCTTCCTTCCTTCCTTCCTTCCTCCTTTCCTTTCTCCCTCCCTTTCTTTCTTTCTCTTCCTTCTTTCCTTTCCTTTTCTTTCCTTCCTTCCTTTCCTTTCCTCCCTTTTTTTCTCTTTCTCTTTCTCTTTTCTTCCTTCCTTCCTTCCTTTGTCCCACAGAGTCCAATCCCTGTCGCTTACGGGC